CGCCACAGCCACCACCACAGCAGCCACCGCCACCACCCACCTACAGCCCTGCTCGGAACCCACCAGGAGTCAGCAGCTACAGCAAGAACAACAATATCCCTGGCTCAAGCGTCAGTACCAGCACCCCCACTATCAGCAGCTACAGCCCTCCACAGGTAAGAAGAGGTGGGGCCAGGGAAGTCGCCAACACCCGCTTCAGCCCATCTCCACTCCTACCTCCAATCCTGCCCTTCTTTCTCCCAGACAGTGCTTATGACGAGGATGGACCCTAGCCTTCTCCAGGTCCCTCCAGCAAGTACATTTCTCTTGGCTGTGTCACTGGTTCACTGAATCCCCAAGAAAGCACTCAGAGTTGCCCCTCGCCCAGGCTGGAAGGGGCTGATTCCCTTGTCTTCAGGATGTGGAGACAAGGCCCTAAGGTTAATAAGGACTTGGCCTTTGCTCTGAGACCTTCATCCCAAGCAGCTCCAGACTCAGTTCCAGTTCTCAGAAAGCCAGTGCTTGGACTCTGGTATGCACAGGCCCCTGTCAGCCAGAGCAGTCTCCTTTTATTGTGCAGCCGTTGCCTGAATACCTTTCACATGCCAGGCCTGGGAACAGCTGCCAGGAGACAGATGAATGGTTCCCCCGCCTTGGTCTAACAAGAATATTTTGTAAAACAGTAATTGAGCTGGCACAAATTCAAGCCCCTGCCCTGAAACATCCTGGGCTTGTGACCTTGGAAGGACAGCCTCACCTCTCAGACCTCCTTTTCCTCATAAAGGACTAGAGTTGTTCATAGAACTCACATCCAAAGTTTTGTGGGAGATGGGTGGTGGCATTATAGCTTCATGGGGAAAGCTCTGGAACTAGGCAGATCTGGGGTCAAGTCCTGGCTCTCTGCCACTATTTAGCTGTGTCACTTGGGCCCAGTCAATATTTTACCTCCCTGAGTCTTTGCTTCCTTCTCGGTAAATTGAGGCTAATGGAACATACCTCTCAGAGCTGGTGGGGGGATTGGGTGAGTTAATGATACAGTCTGGACATGGGAAGCACTTAGGAAATTGCCACTGTTTTTCTCAGCAGCTCTTCTCATAACAACTACCACGACTCACTGAGAACCGAGTGGCTCGCGCACAAAAGCTTATTGAGTACACAGGGCAACCAGAGTGCAGTTCTGTTGTAATTTTCACTTTACGGGGGAAACAACACCCTGGAATTTCAAGAGATGCCTGTGCTTTGTTCCCCAGAGTCTCAGAGTCCAGAGCATAGTTCTGTATCCTTTCCTACCCACCTGCCCTGCCATGTCGCTACCCCACCTCCCCCTCAGTCCTCAGACTCCACCAGGGAAGTTCCTTTGTGAGCCCGCTGCTTACAAAGGCCCTTCCTTCACCCCAGCTGAGCTGGCTATTTCACCGAGCCCTGGTTTTTCCCCCCACTTTCCAGCCAAGTTACAGCCAGCCACCCTACAACCAGGGAGGTTACAGCCAGGGCTATACAGCCCCACCACCTCCACCTCCACCACCACCTGCCTACAACTATGGGAGCTACGGTGGCTACACCCCGGCCCCCTACACCCCACCGCCACCCCCCACCGCACAGACCTACCCTCAGCCCAGCTATAACCAGTATCAGCAGGTAGGTGCCAGATGGGGCCACGGGTTGGAGAGGCTGGGGGCAATGGAGTGGAGAGACTTTCAGGGGCCCTTGTGGGTGTGTATTCCCAGACTTGAGTCCTTGCTTATCCCAAGATGAGCAGCCTGCCAGGGATTCACCTGATATTGCCAGTCCATTTGGTGAACATTTTGCACTGGCTGCTGAATAGCTGGTGTCCTAGCCCCTCCACAGTGCAGCAGGAAAGGGTATAGCAGCACCATGGCCAGTGTCCATTCCAGTGGCTGGTGCTAGGCCACCACACCTGCGATTAAGTATTTTGAATGTGGTACTTACCTAGACCTGAAAAGGGCCTTAGGTTGGCAAGCCAGGAGACCTGGGCTTTAGTCCCATACTGCCCACCCACCCAGGTGGCATCAGGTCAGTCCTATGTCCTCCCTAGGTGCCTTGATTTCTCTGTCAGGGGACCCATGTGTCAGCTGTTGTCACTGTACCCATCTCCACCCTGGGTTAGAGTGGGGTGAGGGGAGGAGCCAACTGTAGGTCTGGATGAGGGACAACTTGGTACTTTTGGTTTCTCCCCAGTATGCTCAGCAGTGGAACCAGTACTATCAGAACCAGTGGCCACCATACTATGGGAACTACGACTACGGGAGCTACACCGGGAACACACAGGGGGGCACAAGCACTCAGTAGCCAGTGTGCCCCGGAGGCCCCCACCGGCTTCCTCCACCAGCGCCCACCTCGGCCCCTCATCTGCCCCCACTGGGTCCTGTGGTGCTGGGGGACAGGTCATCCCAGGGCTGCCTCCCTCTAGCCCGCCGCCTCCCCTCTGAGGGGCTTCTTCCCCCACAGGGCTGGGCATTTTTCTCTGGATTCAAACAGGCAACGACGACCTTCATTTTCTTTTTCTCCCCACCTCCTTCCTCCTCCTCTTCCCGTCCTCCTCTCTGACTAAATACACCCCCTCCCTCAGTCATGCAGTGAGGCTACAGTGGCTGAGGGGAGGACCTGTTTCTGTCCACTCTTCCCAGCCCTGCTCCAGCCCCTCAGCTTCCCAGACCCTCATGCAGTTGGTTGTAAATTCTTCCAGGAGCTGTTTTACTGTCTACTTTTCAGGATTAAAAAAAAAAAAAAATCAAAAAATTTTTTAAAAAAAGTTTAAAAAGCAAAATTTGGAGGGAGGAAGCAGTGACAGATATTTTTTTGGTAATTATGCTTTTTTTAATTTTTAGAATTTGTCTGTTTTTACTGTGGGTTGGCTATTGATATTTCATCAGGATAACCATTTCTTTGCTGAGTTCAGGCAACCATCGAAGAACCACACCCTCAAAACAAAACCACAGAATCATCTTTAACCTAACTTTTTATACAATGTCTCAGTTTCCCATAACTTTGCACACAAGCTTCTGTGTTGAGTTGAATTGTAACTGCTTTTTGTATTTGGAGAGAGTGTGACTATTGAACTTGAAACCTTTTATTCCAGGCGTCTTGGTAGTTTCTGGTGGGATTGAGCTGGCGAGAAAGGAAAGGGGGG